GCGGAGATCGGCCTGGGGTGTGCAGACCATTTGCCTCCGTTACCCCGCATCCTCTGCCTTGCCGCCCCGCCACGCCTTCTGATGTGTGTCGATTCAAGGCGCCTTCAAGAGTCTACGCGCGGTGCTCGAGGCTAGGGAGAGTGAGCTCATACTATACAAGCTTGCTTGACTCACGACTGCTGCTGGCTCATCCGCTTCCGAGAAGCTTGGCAAACCCGAGACCACAGCATCTTGTTGGTCTGAGAGAATGGAAGCAAGACGATCGAAGCGCAGGGGCTTTTTGCAGGCCCTTGGCGGAGTCGGGTGGTGGTACCACGCAGCAGTCACACTCAACTCACGACTCGCGCACATGCGCACCAAATTCTCCGACGGTGGGGTCTCCCGCGTGCACGCGCGTGCCGCAAGAAGATGCATCAAGCCGTCGACTACGTTCTGTCTGCCCGTGGCCTCTTCCGTGATGGCGGCCACTGACTCAGAAATTCGCTTCCTGCGCAGGCCACGCGGTCGTCGCCCAGGGTCACACGTGATCACACCAAGCAAGAATCGAATCTGAAGGCGGCGGTATGCACCTTCTTGATGTGAACATTGGTCAAGAAAGCGCAATCGAGGGGCACTCTTCACCTTGACTTTTGACTGCATATTCCACAATGACCTCCCTGGGCTCTTCGATCATCCCAGCAGTCAAGTGGAGCAGGATGGAACAATCTGTTCCCCTTTGTCGGCTAAAGCACTTTGCCAAGATCTCGACCTGTGCAGCGGGTGAGCAGCGAGCGTGGCCGGCCAGGTTCGTCATTCGTGTGGCTTGTCGGTACGGTGCGCGCGGAACGAAGATGACCTTCGCCCGCGTCCGACCGTCCCACCTCTCCCTGCAATCCCGACGGCATTGCGGTCGTGGCTGATGTCTGCACGCTTCCTGGCTGGGATTTTTTTCCCACGAAGCAGCCAGCGAAGAGTCAGATTTGGATGATTTTGGCTTACCCTTTTCGATGATGTTTGTGACCCGCGCCAAGTTGGGAGGTGCGATCGGGCAGAGAGGTGCCTGCTTTCATCTACTCTTTACCGACGCGGACTCGATAACGTCAGCACAAGATTGCTCTACCTCGCGTTCATCTTTAGTGTCCCGATCGCGGCGAACCTCTCTGGACCTGCATTCGCAACGTTCCCAGCCTCACATGAATCAGTGAATGGCTCTTTCGTGCGCAACGCAAGGGATGCAAGTAGACGCAACGGACAGACTACGCAATTAGCAAAGCAAGTCGTGGAAGGGAATGTGATTGCTGCTGTTGATAATTGTAGAGACACGTGACCACGCCTACAGTCCCCTGCATGTACATGTTTTTTGATGTAAACACCACATCTGTAATCTCTCTTCTCCTAGCTCACTACCACCAATACATCCATATCTAACTGTGCTATCGTGATCACTTCAAAATGATTGCATCCGCTTGCCTCCACGCTAAGGCTTCGAGCAAAACCGTAAGCAGCACTGCGTTCAAGCATGCACATTGCCTCCATCGCACAGCAAGCGGCGAGAAGAGGCGCGCACAATGAGAGAAAAGAAATTGTCAGTCAACAAGTACCATGGGGCAGGAATTCGACAGACAAAGCTGAGCAAGAACGCAGAGGGCATCGGTGTATGCACCAGTTCGAGAGGGGATATCGGTAGCGAACGCGACTTAGGAGACGAGCTTAGACTTGATGGACCCAAACATGGACTGACGCTTGACCGATTCAGGAGGGGCAACCTTCTCGGATGCTGTGCTCTGCGGTACCGTGGCCTGAGCCGGTGAATGAGCGACAGCAGCAGCGTTGGAGTCCAAAGTAGCCGTCGAAGCGCTCTCGTGATTCTGATCTGCAGCAGTCGGAGCGTTACTGTCTTGAGGCTCCCTTGCTTCTTGCGTCGGCGCAGCCGCGTCTGCATTCGCGGCAGCAAGCAGGTCAGACGGTTCGAGCAAGGCATCGACTCGGCTCTTGACCTCTTCTGGCAGATCTTCGCACGTATCCCAGCGACCCCATGCTCCCCCCTCGATGATCTTGCGAGTCTGCGCTTCGGCATCCGACACGGAGGATCCGTTGGATATTTCGACCAGCTCTCGAACCAAGGATTTGCGCGATTGGCTGTGCCCTACGATTTGGCGGATATTGTCGCCCGACTTGAGCTCGTACTGCGAAAGGAGACGTCAGGGGGAAATATGCCGACGTGTTGTGAGCAGACAGGCGCGTCTTCGCTGCACTCGACATTACTCACTTGCCATCGTACAATACCTGGATTGCCCCGTGGCAGTGTTCCATTTCGATGGTGCACCGTCGCACCGCGCACGTAAGGCTCCAGGTCGAATTGGCTAACACGAAGCTTCTTGACCAGCACGCGCCTCTTCTCGGCCAGAAGGGCATCTTTCTCGTCCCCACCAGCTCGGATCCACATTCTGGTCACGCCCTCATATTCCCTCGTCAGTGCTCGATGCCTCTTCCAAAGCCTATCCTTGGTCGCTGTATCCTTCAACTTGTCATTCTCTTCAGCTGCAGGCTCGATCCACTCGAATTGATTCTCCACATCGCCGCCCATGATGCTGACCAAGCGCTCTGGAGGAATGTTGCCGGTAAGATCTTCAGGCTTTTGAGTAAAAGCGATCTTGCTCCTGACCACCGGATCAAGCAGACCTTTGACCAGTTTCCAGGCTTGGAAGAAGATCCAGGGTCCTTCGACGATCCAAGCAGCGATTGTGATGAGCTACAAGACACGATCAGCGAGCGCAATATGAGCGGAAGCCTCACCCCGATGGATGTACATGGTGCCCAAAGACTCTGGAAAGTAGGCTTCTAGGCACTTGACCACGTAGAGCAGGGATACCCAGTCCTGTAGCAAAATCACGATGAACTTTGGCGATCAGCTACTTTGTCGTGCTTTGCATCCGCACGAGCGCACTTCCAGCCTCACCATATTTCTAATGCCGAAGCCCTACGTGCAGAGCAGGACAAGGAGAGCCTTGCATGAATCAGTAACGTAAGCCCGTCATTGGAGTGGCTCTGCTCACATTGAGATCGAACAGGATGACCATTTTGTCCTGCGGTGGAATCATGAAGAGCCTCCAGGTTTCCATCTGAAAGATGACAAACTGTCCACGTTTGGCGTCATAAAGTCGTCAGCACCGCATACGTCGAGTGAAGCAGCACCGACAAGAGGGTGGGGGTGGGGGAGTTGCGCACCTTCTGCATTGTGCTTCCGGGCTGTCCAAAAGTGAGGTGCTTCTTCATCTCGACGTAGCAAACCGGTTGTTCATTCTTCGTGCATCCATGAGCGTAGATCTTTCTGGTCCTTTGCTGATCCAGAAACTTTGGAATCTCTTCGCCATTGCCAAGATCGCCTTGAGTAGCTACGTGCTCCACGCCAGAGTCTAGCCTCCATTTGAGGCAAGTGGCCAGCATGGCCATGGCGCGAGAGACGTCCCATTTTCGCGCTCGAAGAAATCGCAAAAGGTTGGTGTCGGGATTATCGGCTTTGTTGAAGGACCAGAATGTATCTTTGAGCGCCTCGGAGCCATAAGTATGGAGTAGATCTCTGCATTGGAGGGAAGAAAAGGCAGGGCGGGTGTGAGCAGGTAAAGACCGAACCGAGCCTAGAAAGGCGCTGAGAGGGGGCAAGACGATTGTGATGGTGAACAGTGACACTGACTTCATGCCTTGTTCTTCCATCCTCTTCTTCGCCTCCTCTTTGGCCGCATCATCCTGAGGAATGCCCAATTTGGTGGGATCCTTTTCCTCGCTTCCTTGCCACCCCGATCCACCTTCCTTTGCAGCTCCACCCGAAGCTCGATCACAGCAATCGAAAAAGGCGGCCCACATCTCTCTGAGCTTGTCGGCGTGCTCCGGCGTCAAGTTACCTGAGGGCCGGTGTAAGGAACGCGTGCCCTTGGATGTGAGAAACAGCAATAGCAGTGGTGACCGTTGGACGCGCGCCCACACACACACACTCACCCACGTATCCCTCTGGAGTTTCAAGCTCCTTCATCCCCACTTCCTTCCATCCATCCTGCGCGGCAGTGTCAGTCATGTTGCGGGATGGCAGGTGCTTGTGCTTGACTTGAACAAGTATTCAGACGGCAGTGCAACGCCACAAGTGGGTACGACGATGGACAGACTCGAACGACAGTATGGCGGACAAATGTTTGAGTGGAGGGGGCATTTCTCTCGAAAGGAATATCAAGCCTACTTATAGACTTTGCTCATCATCGGCGTAGGGCAACGTCTTTGGGTCTGCCCATCGCCTGCTGGGTGGCCTGCCTTGCTTGGCAATGGGGCAAGGGAAAGAGGCACTTCAGCCTGGAGCACTCCGACTGCAGGCCAATGAGCCAAGGTCCACGATTGCGGGGCCCCGCACTTTGACCTCTACAAGCGGCAACGTCAACTTCTCTCTCTTCCCTGAGCTCGCTCGTGCGCTGCAGCAGCACAGCGATGGATGGCACATGACGTGCATTTCAAGATCGGTGGGCTTTGCAAATCATCTCGACCGCGCCAAAGTGCCCGTCCAACTCGTGACTACAGTCACTGTGACTGTCAATCGCAGATCATGAAATTGAGCAATCACTCTCCCACGCAGCAAGTGCGGGTCACAATTTAGCTTATCGGCTCCGGCTATCAAGGACGCGTAGAAGGTCGTACCGAGGTAGCCGGGGCGGCGGCTGCGGGGGAGGAAGCGTGATTTGCAGCAGCAGCGGCAGCGGCAGTTGTGAGTGAGTGGAGGGAAGCATCACACATGTCGTGCATGGCTTGGTACCTACGCAGCAGAAGCTGTTTGCAGGCATCTGACAAGCCCCCGCCCTAAGCCAGCCCAAAGATCCGAGGATCCGAGGATC